CTGCGGGCATCCGGAGCCCCCGGCGCGGGAGGACCGGGATCCCCGCGCGCCCGCAGCCCCGCTCCTGGAGCCCCGCGCCGCCGCAGCCGCCCCAAAACTCTTACTTTTGTTTATTGTTTGTGAGCCTTTGGGGTTCAGTCGCGGGAGGGACGCGGGCCCGGTGTCCCCGGCCCCGGGCCGGGACAGCGCCCCTCGGACGCGCGCGGGCGGCGGGGAGCCGGTCCTCGGGCTCCGCGGAGCGGGGCTGTGGGGACGCGCGGGCGGAGCCTGCGGTTCTGGCCGCTCGCCTCCCGCTCGCTCTCCCGAGTGAAAGTTTCGGGGCCGGGACGAGCCCACGCTGCCAGCGCAGGTTGGCGAGCGGCAGAGGCCGCGGGCCGCGGGGCCGGGGGACGTCGGGCGGAGTTGGGCTCCCGGCCGCGAGCCCAGGCGGCGGCCCGGGCCAGACGCGGCTCCCCCCGCCGCCTCCCGCCGCCGCCTCCCGCCGCCACCGCCGCCGCCGCCGCCGCGCGACTCGGCACGCTCTGCGCGCAGGACAGGGGCAACTTTCCTCCCCGATCCAACTTGGAGCGTGGGTTCTTTCTCGCCCCACCACCCCGCCTCTTCATGCCCTCCCTGTCCACCTCTTCGTGGTCTGCACCACCCCCAGGCAACATATTGTTACTTCATGGCTCTAAATCTGGTCCCTTTTGAATATATTATTTTCTTGGACTCAAAGGCACGAAGTCAAAAGTGATTTTGCGGTGGGGAAGGGGGGCGGGGGAAGAAAAAAAGGAAAGAAAAAAAAAGTGTGAGCCTTCATACTGTTTTGGTACATGGCGATCTGACCATTAATCACTTGCATGAAGTTGTATGCTTCTTATAAAATGTTTATTCACCACTCCCTTAAAAAAAAAAAAAACAACCCCAAAAAACCAGCTACCACTTCTTGCCTTCATTTTGCAGGAGATAACGGTTTAATCGGAATACTTTCTGGAAGGCTAAAAAAGTATTCATAGATATTCCTCTCCTCTGTAGAGTCTGGATTTGTTTCCCACATTACATCTCTTCCTATTGCAATATCTAACAGTAAAAAATACTGGTTATTTGATCTCAGAAGACTCTTAAATGCATATTTTATGTTGAAATGGTCTGTTTAGGATTTAGGCCTAGTATTAATAATGGATAGCAGTTGCTTGTAGTTATTGTAAAAGTTTTTATTTTTTTTTATTTTTCCCTAAGAAACTTCCAAAGTTCCTATTTTAGTAACTTGTGGAAGTATGGAGTGAAACTTTTCAACCACTCTGGCAAAGTTCACAATTGCATATGGATAAGATGCAAAGTGTAAGATAATTTGAATGAGTTGCAAGGACCACAGTGAAAATGCTGAGATTCAAAGATGAAGTTCCAGCTGACAAAAGTTTGCAACACATAGAACTTGTAGATAATACCAGTGTGCTGCAATAGTAGGATACATTCGCTTCTTCTCAAGTGAGCTCTCAAAATTAAATTTATATTTTTGAGATGGTGCACATAGGATACCTGTGTATCTAGGTAGGCCCAGGGCATAGTTATTTATTTAACAAAGTTGGATTTTCTTGGTTTGTGAGCTATTATCACATTAAGAAAGTTTTTTTTTCTTCTTCTTTTTTATATATATTTGGCAGCGTGATTGATACATTCGCTAGGCCTTCTTCTGGAAGCACCACTAAGAGAAATGCTAACTTAGTATATCAGTTTGTGAAGAAAATATATGCTAAATAGCAAATGAGGGCCATATATTTTATGGTTTCTTCTTTTAAAAATTGATTTTCAATTTATTTAACTTGATGGAATATTTATGGAGCTTTAGAGCTAATTTTTAAAAAGAAAAACTTAGGTAGCTTATTGGTCTCTAAAGAAAATCCAGTAAGCACAGGGATAAAAGTACCCTCAATGAAAGAATAAACTCCATATATGTGTATGCAATTTTTAAACACTTTATTAGAAAAATGCTAGGCATCTTATTTTAATATACAGGCATATCATAAGCAAACCATGTACCTGGCCACAGAATAATAACACAGTAGAAATACATAGGTGAACATTTGAGAAGTAGTCCCAGAAATTCCAGCATTCAGTGGTTCTTAAACTTGGCTTACTTACAAACTGATCAACGTTTAAGGTGCTGATTCAAAGTCATATCACTTTGGAAACAGGTTTTCAGGTTTGTTTTTACTGGTGGACAGTAACTTTCTCACTGAGTACATATGTAAAACCTCCTTTGTTTTCTCTTGACTATTTTGAAATATTACACAATTTATGGCTCTAAGTGCAGTAAAATTATTTGTAAAGGCATACTATTTTTTTTTTAAAAGATCTAATGTATGCTATACCTGGACATTTCTATAAGTTAATGATATTCTTTAGTTCTGATGTTCTGGAATATTTCTAATTGTGAGTTGAGAAAAATAACTAGCACTCTAATGGTGCATGTGTGTAAAGTTATACAAAATGCTGTGCACTTTTATTGGCACATCCTTGAAACCTTTGGGGAGTAATAAGTTGTAAAAACTTTTGATGCAAAAATGAGGACTTAGGTTATTCTTAATGTTTAGTTGATATAGTTGACCTTATTTAAGGATTTTTGGGATGGAATAGATGGGCATTGGGTTGGCAGGTACACAAAATCCTCTCGAACACGAATGAACGCAGTTCTCCGTTCTCGGAGAAACATGTTGGGAGTATCTTTGAGCACTTAAATGCCATATTAGAATGCTTGTTTAAAAAGTTTATTATTAATAAAGCTTTTTAATAAGAGAATGTTTTAGCATAAATGTGAATTGTTTGGGACTATGCTATTCTTTGCATTATTAAATAGGGCTGAGACTTTAAAATGAAATCCTCCCTTTGGTGAAAGCTTACTTTGTAGTTAAGGTAGGCTCCAGGAGTTCTTTGCAGAAAGCCATAGAGCCTTGGTCCCTAGCATGTCCGTCCTATGTTTACAATAAAATCAGTCAATGTGGGGGACCATTTCAAACTCCAAATTTATGTATTTAAGAGCATTTCAAGGATGAGCTCAGAATTTAGTAATGTTTAAATGCTTTGTGGTGTGGCATGTCTCTTAGTAGATAAACTGTGACTTGAAAATTGCCACCCCCGGACCCTCATTTCTCTCTTCTAGAGTATGGCAGTAAGAAAGATTTTTCAAACATCAGCAATTGAAAAATGCCAAGGGTTTTTGGTAAAGGATAATATAATTCTTGTATTTTTTTTTTTCTGTTCCTTCTTCACTTAAAGAAAGCTCACATGTTACAAAAGCTGACTTCTTGGATTCTTTTATTGAAAAAGAGCACTTTTCAAAGTTAAACTTGAAATGCAGAGTCTGAAATTTAGTCAGAGAGGAAAAAAGGAAATCTTATTTATTGAAATGATTTATTATGTATGTAATTAATATATACTTTTCAAAACAATAATATGTGTTTAGATGATTTTTTGTAATTTATAATATTTTAACAGATTTCATTGTTAAAATATTTTTACCAGTTTTAACCACTCAGTTTACATTTGAACTTTTAAAAATTTAATAATTTTTAATAGTAGTAGTATTTTGGACACTGCAGTTAATTCTGTCTCCAAAGTATATATTTAGCTGGATGTTACGAACTGAAAAAGAATGCATTTTATGTTTGTCTGCCCTACACCCTTTAAAAAAGTCATTGAGTATCTCTTTGATTTTCTTATTCTCATTTATTTGAAAGTAAATAATTTATCTTTTTGGGGGGTTGTTCGGCAGAGAAAAGTTATGTAAGATTAGTGTGTGTTGGTTAATCAAAAGTTAAATGTACCGAGAAAGCTTTGTGGAGGTTACTGTTTAATTTTTTTAAATTTTATTTTTATATTTACTAAGAAAATTTCAAGTAAAAGAATCAAACATCTTCAGTAAAACAGTAAGAAAAATTTAAATATTTTAAATTCCATTTTATTTTCAAATTACTTGAATTTTAAGAGGCTACCATGAAGGTTTTCCTGGAATCTCATAAACATTGAATATACCAGGTTCTCCTTTATTTTCTGTGAGAAAAAGCCTGAAATATTATTTTCAAAAGTTAAATAATTATTTTGTATTTTTGAGGGATGATCATTACTGAAGGCATTTCACAATCATATCAGTAAATTAAATGTATTTAGTTGCAACACTGTTGTCACAGTGACACATTCTGTTTACTATCTGGAATGTACGCTTTTCTTTGTGTGTTTTTTTTCTCCTCTCTCCCCCCTTTTTGTTTCATTCCCATAGTATCAGAAATTATGTCTTGAACATAGATTTTTTTATTTTAGTCTGATGAATATCAGATTCATCTATTCTTTTGTATGTGATTCTCTGCTATATTTTTCTAAGTTTTTGACTAAAAATATTTATGTACAACTGGAATACTTAAAAAGGAATTAAGATGTTACCCAAATGACTAAGACAGAGATCAGAGTCTACATGCAGTGTTTTTAGAGGGAAAGTCTTTATTTTCATTGATCGCGGAGATGATTTCTGCTCCTAGACTTCCACAAACATTGACTGGCATCTAAATGTTTCGGATTTGCCAATCTGGCGGCTGAACCCTGGCTGTACTACAAGTAGTGAGGTCAAGGCTGGAGCAAAATTAGATATGCCTTCCTTGAAATAGGGTTAAGATTGTATATTGTTATAAGCATTCCGATAAACTTTACTTACCAGCCAAAGGATTTGCAAAGAAGACTGGACCATAGAACCTGGGATGCTTCGGTGACTATACCAAAACGTTCTTTAATTTTTTAGCCATTTTCTTCTTTGAGGTTGTGAGAAGTAATGCCGGTCACTTTCTTTTTTTCTCCCTCACAGACTTCCCAAAGGGATTATTCTACAACAATTTTGGTAATTTAATCCTCGCATCAAATTTCAAGTGAAATAAATATTTTTTTTTGAAGGTGACCATCTTAAAAAAAAAAAAAAAGTTGTTTCTTTTTGTTTTCGGTGGTAGTCACACTTTTGTTTCTATTCATTTCCCTAGGATGAATTTCATCCTTTCATCGAAGCCCTCCTGCCCCATGTCCGAGCCTTCGCCTACACATGGTTCAACCTGCAGGCCCGAAAACGAAAATACTTCAAAAAGCACGAAAAACGCATGTCAAAAGAAGAAGAGAGAGCCGTGAAGGATGAGTTGCTAAGCGAAAAACCAGAGGTCAAGCAGAAGTGGGCATCTCGACTTCTGGCCAAGTTACGGAAAGATATCCGACCCGAGTACCGAGAGGATTTTGTGCTTACAGTTACAGGGAAAAAGCCTCCGTGCTGTGTCCTTTCCAACCCAGACCAGAAAGGCAAGATGCGAAGAATTGACTGCCTCCGCCAGGCAGACAAAGTCTGGAGGTTGGACCTGGTTATGGTGATTTTATTTAAAGGTATTCCGCTCGAAAGTACTGACGGCGAGCGCCTTGTAAAGTCCCCACAGTGCTCCAACCCAGGGCTCTGTGTCCAGCCCCATCACATAGGGGTTTCTGTTAAGGAACTCGATTTGTATTTGGCATACTTTGTGCATGCAGCAGGTAAGTGCGATGGTGAGACATCCTTCTGCTTTCTTCTGTGTGTGTGTCTCTCCTGATGACCCCTGTGTATGCCGGGCCATTCTTGAACGCCCTCATTTGCAGGCTCTGTGCATATGGACAGCGTGGTTTTGAAGGTGGGCTGATGTCCCAACAGCCCAGGAGTCTGGGGTGCCACCTTCATTCGGATGGAAAAGCATAGCTTTGAGAGAATTCGCAATAAGTTTTGAGTTGGCAAGTGGCGTTATCAGAGGTGTCGGGTAGTCAGGTATGCTTATGTTTAAATCATAATTTTTGATGATGGGCAGAGAAGCCTATTAAAAACTCTTGTGATGAAGGGTGAATTTTACCTGGGAAGTGATCTAGTTAAAAAGCATGTAGTTCTGTTAGTGAGGCAATATTGTTAGTGGCTTTTCTTCTGGGGATGTTTTTAACCTACGGGGGCCTCTTGAACACCTTGCTAATTAAGATGAGATTGGAGGTGAGGTTATTGTTATTAAATTGCTGATCATTTATGAGGGAAAAATAATTATATTAATACGCAGACTTAGTAGCTTTGCACTTAGGAACTTCTAGTGTTGTTTAAGAAAACTAAGGAAAAAAGCAAACCAACTCTTTAAGTAGTTGATGGAGAAGTTAGCCTAGAAAGTAACCAACCTAGAGAGTGCACGAGTGCATTGAGAAATCCATATTGGTAATCGGTTTAGTGAGCTGCTTTGATTCATAATAAAATTATTTATTGCTTAGGGCTGTTTTTCAGGGCATGTTTTACCTGGGCATATTACAGCCGTGAGAGTAGCATTCAGGATAAAACTCAATAGTTTTATTGAGTTAAAGACCGGATAAAATAATGCATTTTTACTTTGTTCCTTTCATCTTGTTTTAGACAAAAGGCTCATTGTGTTATGTGAAAGCTCAGATCTTGTGTAACTTGTTGACTTTTTATATGTACATATCGGTCGTGATAGATCACCTTCATGGCAGTTACTTGAGCCTGATGGAAGAAAGAAGGCTGGGGAATCCTACCAGTAGATTGTTTGGGGGTTCATATAATTACATTTTTTTTTTCACAAAGGAGAGAGAAGGTACTATCTGTAAGATCAACACTGTACTGTTTTGCAAAACATTTTTAATTATAAAGATGCAAGCTATATTTTAAAGACATGAGCTGAAATCCTATTCTTTGTTATTTTTCTCAATATATGTTTCAGACAGAGAACTTTTGTTAACTGTCTCTCCTTACATAAGAAACTGGAGAAATCATTTGCCTTCTGTTGGTAGGGGATAGATAAGTATTTTAGAGGATGTGATCTGTTAAGTGTTTAAAATATTTGGGTTTCTGAAAAGGTTTCTATATAATTATAAGAAGTGCCTGTTGCTCCAGCCAGTTTTGGGTAGCGGTATTGAAAAGGCACACCTCTCAAATGATCTTTACCCAGGAAAAGTAGTCCTCTCTGAACCCCTTTACCATCCCATTGTTGTTATTTTGTTTTGTGCTTTGAAAACGCCGAGTTAAATTTTAAAAAAAGCTATTTGCATATATGAGTGAAGATTCTGATAGGGAAAGGCAAGGTGCAAAGAAAATACGGGTGTTCTAAATGCTTCCAGGGAACATTTTTTTTTTAAATGTTGTGTTTAATCTTTTTAATATTTAGGAAGTAAGTATTTTATAAATTATAAGAAATGCTCTCATTGAAAATTGACGGTGCCAACGGGTGATGCACATCACAGTATGTTCTGTACTTGCTTACAAAGTCCGATCAGGATGAAATACCTGTTGTGTTTTTATTGGTGCGAGCAGTTATCTATTCTAAGTTTTAGATGTAAACATTTCCTTTAGATTTAAGAGATGTAGCCTTCCTAGCTATTGCCATGGCATGCATTCTCTTTTGTCGTTGATGCTAGTACTTGTGCTGTTGCTCAGAGTCCTGGAGCTAACAGTCGCTGGCTGTTTCGGTACTTCAAGGGTGACGTTGGTAAAATGACGTGTAGACGGTTGCTTAGGAGAGTTAGCATCCTTATTTCCTATGAAAGATTTATGGACAGCAACATGGATCAGACTACCTTTCGGTTTGGTTTTCCTGATGTATCCCAGAATCCCTTGTCAGGCCTGAACGCCAGCCAAGTGCCAGGCCATTGGTTTTACCGGAGGAGCAGCGCGCAGTAATGGCTGCTTCTCTGTGCGCGCTGCAGGAGGATTGCAAGAGGAAATATCAGGGGCCCTTTGTCTGAAAATATTTCAAATTTGATTTAAGAGATTTAGAGACCTGTTATTTGTGGGAGGGAAGCTGCCAATACAAATACGAGGTAGGCCGGTCAACTTACATACAACTGATTTGACAAGCATCTGTTATAATACCGAAGATTTGTAAACACTAAACAATGTTTTTACCTCCTTAAAAGTTTTGAGAACTTGCCAGTATTGGCAGGAGGCAGAGACTCTGGAACGTGCTTCAAGAAACATGCCAAAATCATTGTGGCCTTTTCACCTAGCGTCCGCTCCCCCACCTCTCTCTTTAAATTGTTATATATTGTGTTCTCCCCCTAAGTCTTCTTTTTCTCCCTAGCTGGCCACAAAAGGGAGGGTTTTTTTTTTTGTGTGTGTGTGTTTTTAATTTTTATTTCTTTCTAAAAAATGTGTACAATTATTGCTTTATTCCTAGGCCTCTTCTTTGGTAGGAAGCTGAAATCTTAGAACACACGTGTAAATGCTGGAAACTAATGCAGAATCAATCATCTTTTTTTTTTTTTTTTTTTAAAGCAGAGATGATCTAGCCTGAGACTTATTCAGATGCTAAAATACAACACATAAATTACATTCCAAATTCTCCCTCTAAATCCAGGGGCATTCGAACCCTGTGAATTTTGTGGCTGATAAATAGTAACAAGTACAATGAAATCGGAGTGATTCCAAAAGCCTGAGAATTTCATCTCGTTAAAAGTATAAAAGAGTATATTCATTTTTGTTTGGTCTCTGCTTGAGTTGTCCTGTCCCTGTATCGTATGACAACTTGGAGATATTATGGTATTGTGGCAAGTGGTATTCTTCGTGGGTGTGTAACAGTAAAGCTAATTTATGACCAGTCTTTACCAGATGATCTGTATCAGAATCTACAATATACCCGGCACGTGGCAAGGTCACAATTTAAGTTGTTAAGGTCATAACCTTAGCCACCAGGCATTTGACCTTTTAGATAAAGTTAACCTTTGTTCATTAGTAGGCACTCAACCGAGAACTTTCTGGAGAGTTTTTTGTTGTTGTGTTTTTTTTTTTTTTTTAAACTGCTTCTGTATAACTTCTGGTAATGTAATCAGATGCTAGGGAGATTTTCACCTGAGTTAGTTAAATTTTGTAAGAAGTTAGATTTTTTTTTTTTTTTTTTTAAGAATGCTTCTCTTGCATTAGAGGTAGGTTGCTGTATCCAGGCCCCAGAATGACAGTGTCACACATTATTTTTCATAGTTATTACCTGCTTGGGGGAGGAGGGGAGTAGAATGAAAGCTCTGAGGCAGCTGGGTAAAGATGTTTAAAAATAAAAATTAAACAAATAAAATTATGTTTAATTCAGTTTGGCCTGTGCTAGTTTCTAAGTTGGGCTCAAACACTAAATCACAATGAGCATCCTCACTTTTTGCACCAATCTTAGAATTTTCTAAGATTGGGAGATATTTTTAGTGGTCTTAAAATTTACTTTGAAAGATCAATAAATGACCCAAATCTGCCAGCTAATTGCTGTCATTGTTAATTACTCAGTGACAGAGAAAATTGAATTTGTCCTGCTGGTAGCACGAGTACTTGGTTAGTTTTAAGGTACAAAGCGAACATTTTTTGCATGGTGATGTTTTAGTACAATAGTAACTGATTGCTTCATGCTGCCCCTGTTCCTGCCGTTACTTAGCTTTGCTTGGACTAGGGTGAGCAAAGGTCCGATCACTCACTGAAAGAGCTGTTGCCATGCCTCGGAATTCTGGTACCTGTAAACCCGTGCTGCAGTATTACTGATTACCATATCACCTGTACCACATTGTTCACCTTATTATGCTAGCGCGAATACTCATTTAAAATTATTTACAGTACTGCGAGTTTTGCTCCGATATGCCATGGATTATTCCATTTCAACAAGAAAAAGAGAAAGAGAGAGAGAGAGAGAGGGGGGGGGGGGGGAGGGAGGAGCAGGCTCCCATTTAGGTGCATTTTAGTTTTATTTTGGCTTCGTGATTGCCATTCCTTCATAGAGTAATAGAGAAAGCCGTGATATGCAGATAGACCAGATGGTCATGTTGACAGGTTGAGAATTCACTTCCTACTGCTTCAGAACAGGTGTAAAATTAGGAGTGTCTGTGTATGAGCGTATGTGTGCGGCGTGTGCACATCCAGGCTGCACACAGAGTGTTGTTTAGAGCAGTGGAAATGATTTCTTTCTTTTTATTTATTTTTTAAAGTAAAGCTGCTACTTTAAATACAGTGTAGCTATACGCATAAGGTTATTAATGCACAGAGAATAATTATTGTAATAATTTTTAAGTAAATGTTTATAATTTTAGGCCAAATTAATTACTATAACAATTTCCTAATTTTTAGTTAACCACATTAGTTTATGGTAGTATTGCATATCTCAACTATGTTCCATATATTCTGTTAGCAGATATATGTGTGTATGTGTTTATGTCCAAGTCTAGGACTAGGCATTATGTAATTAAACTTCTTCAGTGCCTTAAAAACTCCCTGGTTGGAAGCTGTGCAGTTACTTTCTGTGATTTGTAATCATAAACTGTGTTTGGAAAAAGTAGGAGTAAGACTAATATGCATTTACAATTAATAGGGTAAGTATCACCCTACCTCAACTTCTAACTCTAACCTAACACTACACTTGTGATAGATTTTTGTGACTGACTGATCTACTGTAAATAATTGGTATATGCACACAATTTCAGAAAACGTCATTTATCTTTTTATTTGTATCTCAAGTCTTCAAAGGAAAAAGCACTAACAATCAACAAAC